GGGGGGGGGGGGGGGGGGGGGGGGGGGGGGGGGGGGGGGGGGGGGGGGGGGGGGGGGGGGGGGGGGGCGGGGGGTAGGATTCATTGATTTCGTCTCTAACCAATCCTTCAAGCAAGAATTTGTAGACCCTGATGTCCATGACGAACATCAGTAGGCCGTTCCTCCCGTGGGAGGTGACGAAGGGGAGTCATGAAGCCCTTGATGGATGTGTACTCCTTGTCATCCAGAAAATTGAACCGTAGTGCGACGGTCCTCTTTTTCCTGTCCGGGAACAAAGACACGACAAGCTACGCTACCTTGCCCCCAGGAACACTCCCATACTGTCCACTCCAGGGACGTTGATTGTGATGCATGCATCTTCACTATCACCGAAGAAGAAGCCATCGGTGACTAGTACGCGATGGCGGTATTAAGGGCTCCGGAATTCGGCTTTCGCGGCATGCGGCATGACAGCCTCTGCTTTCTCACGCATGGTAATTCGAGAGCCAGTACTTCTGCGTGTGTCGTTGTGACTGACAACGTTCGTCTGTTCTCCCTGTCTGTGTGACTTGTCTGTCTATCTCTCTCGCTCGCTCTCTGTGTCTCTTGTCTTCGTCCCTGTGTCTGGCTCCGTGGGTATGCCTGTCTGTCTGTCTGCCTCTGTATCTCTCTATCTCTGCCTGTCTGTCTCTCGGTCCTACGAAGTACTTCTATCTTGTATATCTCACCCCTTTCCCGGGCGCTGAGGGCCGCGCACCAACGAAGCCACGTGGCTCAACTCGGCGTGCCTAAGGGTTTCCAGATCCCTCCTCCACCCCGTATCTTCCTCCCTCAATGTGGGGTTGGCCCTGCCGTAGCGGTGCTTGACGAGGGATGCCACAGTTGTCTCCAGCACCGCCGCCGTCTCTGAGGGAGACGTCAAAGGGAGTTTAACGCCACGCGGTCGGTCTCTTGGTACAGCAGTCGTATTCCCGGTATACCGAAGTGTAGAGGCATGCAAAAATCACCGCGGTTTTACATATCGGCACATGACGCTTATTGAGTGTTGGGGGAATATATAGCTCTTAGCACAGTAGCCAAAGTCTGTGACAAGCGATGTTCACCGCGGTGGATTGCGACCCGCACTACTCGCCACCGCGGTATAATAGGTACATCGGGACTACCACTGCTGTAGTGCGCTCGACCAGGTAAGGGAGAGAGTGGCCTTCGTTCCAGGGCGCATTCCCACGCTTTTGTAGAACCTCGCTTACGCTTGCCCGGCAGAACCATTGGCGAAGGGAGGAGCCAACCGTGTCTGGTGTTCGGTAGAAATGTGTTTCCAACGGCAAGGGGGGCGGGAGAGAGAGAGACCGCCATTCCTACATAGGTAGAGTAAATAATCAATGCTATTTTCAGATAAGGAGGGCCCTTCGTGACAGCAAGTCTACAATGGCCGGGTGTGTACTAGTGTCACGTCTGTTACAACTGCCATGATCCTCCGAAACCATAGATAACGCCATGCTTTCAACTCGCGATTTCTTAGGATCTTCCGTCGTGCACTGCTGTGGGAAAGCATGCCGAAACTTTTTATGCATACAGCGACAGCAGGTTCAAACTTGCCTACACAACGAACGTGCCATGATGATGCTATGGATCACCGCGGTTCCCCCCTTTGGCATGCAGGTGTCATTCTGTCACTTTCGCCCATAATGTTCAAGTCCCCAAATAATTCAAAAGCACGTCATAAAATCGGCAAGCATCATACGAACCAACTGCTACTGGCGGGGCACGAGGTCGAAACGCAGGTTGCCAGACGCGAATTGGATCGTCGAACGAAGGAAGGTCAAAACCAGCCCATGTAAAAGAGTCATCCATCAGAGAGAGAAGTTATTTAGTGCGTTTCCCAGCCCCCGATCTGCGTTGAAATGCGCAAGTAGAAAAAAACGCTCCGCACCCCTCCCGGGAACAATCGTACGTATGCTACATTGCCGAATAAACACACACAATGGCAACACCATGGGAATAGACAATACGCGGCGCGGCATCTCACCGGGGGACGAAGCGGCCACGCTCGAGGCATGCAGTGCCGAGAGGTCTGAGCTGAGAAGCCACCCGAAGAGGCTTTGCAGGACGACCGCCGGCAGCGGTCGCGGCCCTGCGCACGGAAAGATTCCGGCAATCGGTTCCTGCCATCCCCCGCCCGCTCTCTCTGCTGCTTGCGCCGGAACTCGCGGCGGCGTCGCGAATTGCGACTTGGTGTCATCATCCCTTGACGTTGGTGTATCGGTAGTGCCGACGGCGACGACGATGGAGGAGTTATTGTGGCCGCTTTGTTTCTTGCGTGCAGCTGCTGCCATCTTCTCCCAGCGGAGGCGTGAAATCTAACGTCAGCGTGGCCTCCTCCGTGCACAGCGGTGGCGACCGCCGCGTGAGTGGTGAAACAACCGGGATTGCGCTGGCGCTGCCACTGCTGCCCGAAGGCTGGAGGATGAGGCCTTGCCTCTCGAGAGTGTAGCCCTATCGTCGTGCTTTTCGTGATGCCTCACTGAATGAGGCAAACAATCCAAAAATGTGAGTTGAAGAAAACTCTCAGGCAACGACGTGCTCCGTTTCGTGAAAAGGGACCAAGAGGGAGACAAGGGGGGTTCTTTCTTTCGCGGATGGAAGCAGCACAACGGCCGATGGTCGCCTCTTCCCCCCCCGGCGGTAGCGTGAGGGTTTGATATGATTTGAATGAAATGTTCAGGCACATCCCAGTGGGGGCTCCGCTGTTGGGCTAAACGCCTTTTGACCCACATGGGTATGCGTAGGATACGTTTGTTATAGGCTCAAGAATTCTGGCATTATTTTTCTAATCTTCTACGAGAAAAAATGATGAAGACCCGAGACAATATAGATCACATGTAGACGAACCGTACCTCCACTCTTGTGGGTCCTGCCCCTACGATGTCCCTATACGATACTCGAATTCACGACTCAGCCAATCCGGTACGAGAATAGCCTCTTCCAAGCTATCTGAAAACCAC